TACCTCCAGGACTTGATTCTCCGCAGTTTTCTCCCGGCGTTGTTTACGAGGCAAAGTATCTTCTCTTTTCCTACACTCCTGCGCGTTTTCTAGAGCCCGATGTTTAACTTTGACTTTTCTCTCGTATTGTTTGTGTATTGTTCATCTGCAGGATTTTCGCAGTCCATGGAGGGGGGGAGGGGGGCATTTTCGACCGAGGCTTTGTTTTCGGAGGGAGGAGAGAAGTGCATGTTGAGATAGCCATGTTTTGAAAGGGAGCTGTGTGGAGGCATTGGACAATTGTTATTTTTTTCTTTTTTTCTATTTATTTTTTATTACACTGATGTTTTCCTCCAAATTGTGTTACTTTACTCCCCTATTTCCTCCATTTTCTCCATGTCTATTTCCCTCCTTTAGTTACTATTGGCTTTGGTGTTGATCTCACATATTCATTAAACGCTTGTCAGTCAACACATATCACGCATAACCTAGGTTTATAGACCTACATTAACCATTCTTTAAAAAAAAAAACGAAAGTCACTGGATGTTTTCTTACCCGTTCTATGGATTTTCTGGAATTTACGTGTTAATTCCCATTTGCAGTGGATTTTCCTAATAACCTCTATACTTGCATGATTCCACAAGTTTCTTTGACACACACACACACTTTCCCGAGTATGTCAATGATCGCCAACATTATTTCAGATTTGCTTTAAAGGCTGACATAATCCGTAAAGAAGGGGTCAGCCAAGTCAGAACAGATCAGATATATATAAGGAGGAATCAGAAGCACTAAGTATAGCTTCAGTAGATCACATGCTAAGAGGGTAGAAGAGCATAGCACGCTGTTGAGTGGGGGAGAGGCAAGCGTGTGGGACTAATCGGTCGCTGTTCGTTGTTTTTTTTTCCCATCTTCAGTATCACGTCGAGACTCAGAGTTCTCTAGAAAACTCTAACTTCGATTTTTTGTCATGCTGGATTCATGACTGTAACAAGGTATGGACTAGGAGTGAATTCATTTGTGTATATATTCACATTTACAAACAGAATGGTGCTCGAGTACAATTACAAATGGTTCAACAAATATTCGACTGTTCAAGAAAATGAGTGTCACTGACATATATGACAACCGATTTTAGACAACCAATCAGCAGAAGAGAGGTTAGTTGTAACAGTGCATCAAAGAAAATCAAAAGCTGCATTTACAGTAAATATATAAAATTTATTAACAGTTAACAAATCTGTAAAGAAACGTGAACCATTACAAAAATAGTGCAGTGTAATTCACATATCGAAAAACATCTTTAATAATATTAAGAAGAGTAATCTTTGTTTTGTTTTGTTTTTTTTATGTATGTAATACAGATTATCCCCACTCTTATAATTTATATCCCTAGGGAGCTTTTACTACATCAATGTATCTGTTCTTTACATGTACAAGTAAAATCCTTTCCTATGTATTTATTTGTGTCCCCATAGTTTTGGAACAAACACTAAATGATTATGAAAATTCTGTTATAAATGTAAGCTTAAACAATGGACTTTCGTGGTGCTTACATGAATTCGTAAGTCGCCGGGATCATGTCTTACAGAAAGTTGCAATAGGCATTGGATCTAGTTTTCCAGCTGGTCATTTTCTTGCAACAAGAGCAAATCCAATATCTGTGCCCTCAAACGCAGCTTCTTTATACCCGACATTTTCTTCATGTAAGGCAACAAACTCTTGAAGAAATGCAGGTCATCATCTTCTGAATCCTCTTGTACCTCCTGAAGTTCTTGTTTCCTCTTCCCTGCTGTAACATCGTCGGTGTCTTTGCTCGTGCGTTCCTGGCTCTTCCGAAGTCGCCTGGTCCGTTCTTCACTGGATTCTTGAGATGTCACTGCTTCAGAGGATTTATTATTGGATTTATCTGGCGGAGACGGTGACCACGGAGGGGTTGGAAAACGAACTTCACAATCCTTTCCCTTGATATCTTCCTCGTCGACTATTTCCAGGGGTAAGTTCGCGAATCTAGGCTCGGGTGTGAGAACATTCTTTAGGAAGGCCATCTGTTGGAAATATGGCCAAGTACTAGATACCAGTTCTTCAGAGGGTCCTCTTGCTTCCATTTTCTTCAGCTCTCGTCTGTAGTAATCTCTGGCATTCTTCCATTTGTTCCTCACTATTTTTTCTGAAAAAAAACATAAACTCTGATTATTACAATGTACTTAAAAATAAACTCATATGTTAGTGATAGTTTTGATTGGCTTACTTCCTGCACCCCAAATATAAATATGCAGTTTCACTGCCGATCAAAAAAAAATCTAGATATATGTACATGTTTTATTATCAACAATTAATTGCACTGTTAGGTCAATATGTATGGGACAGCAATACTGACTACTTTTAGAGGCAACTCATTTTCCAACGTTATTAATTTAGGTCAGAATTAGTTCACAAAACCAGGCATCGGTCACACAACTGCAGAATGGATGGGCATTGTATTGTTCCTTGCCACTTTAAGTTTAATTTGAGTACATG